GATATTGGAAGTTGATCAAATTAAATATTAATTTAAGATTAATCACATGTTAATAATCAAAGGTCATATAAAAAATATTAAAACAAAATCAGTAAATATTAGCTACTAAAGATAAAGGTTAGATCCTGAAAGAAGCCAGGAGCTTTTATTGCTCTTTTGAACATTCTGGAAAAGTCTCCATTCTTTATTTCTGTTTGGTTTTGTTTCTCTTTATCCTGATATAAAGTCTTTGTTTTGCCAATGTTGTGGACCAACAGATTATCCTCATTGTTGTCATTGGAGAGCTTCACATGACTCCCATGGTCCACGGCTTTGTGCTGCACGCCCCGCTGTGGAGGGGGCCACAGACAGTGCTGAGAACTACTGCAAACTCCCTGCAAATGCAGAAAGGCACAAAATGCTTCTCAAGCCAGAAAATAAGAACTAAATGATAGTAGTTTGAATGGTTGTTGAAGATTTTCACTTAAAAAAAACACATTTAATTTAAAACAGACTGTTGTTTGGATCAATGCATTTCTGCATCCCCATTTTACTCTATGCTAAAGCTGCAGACCTGGATAACTTCTTTTTGTCTGACATTTAAGCAGTTTGCCATCAGCAGCTTTACACAATAGCTTATCTCATGACTGGATTGTGGCGTTGTGTAAGCTGTTTGTTGCATTTTTACAGTGAGAACAGAGAGGTGAGCTGAAAGACATAAAAAAAATGGCAGCAATTTGCAGCCTGCAGAGGTAAAGATGTGTGAAGCTGACTCCTCCCAGAGAATGAAATAATTTCAACTGGTGGTTATAAGAAGGTGTGAGACATAGATATACAGCAGAATCATATGTAAACAGTATTCAGGGTAAAAATAAGGCTAGGAATATTTACTGCTTATTAATATTTATACTGCTTAAAGGCTTTTAAAGAATATATTAATGCATAACTTTAACAAATAAAAGTAACTCGGTCACTGTGTTTAAAACCACAAATACACCCACCGACAGCCAAGGAACAATCATTAGGTAGATTTCACTAAATGTACGAGTTCTTCCATTGTGAATACATTTGTGGTCAAATCTTTAAGCAGCAGGGAAACGTTTTCTTATAAAAGAAGCTAAAATGTTAGAGTTTAGATGCTTATCCACTTGGTCTTAAACCTTTATATCTGGCGACCTCTAGTGGCGGGATATGCGAACTGCAGGAGCATATCTCCACCCCTGCAACATTTTTTTTTTTTTTTTGCACGCATAACAATTTAAGAGCAATGATATAAACATTACCTGAAAAAGGTCGCATTTTAACTGCAACAAAAAATGTATGACCGCGTATTACATACTGGGAATATAGGTAAAACTATTGACCTCTAATGTTGAAAAAAATCAACAAACATCTATATTATTTATATTCATATATATCTCTATTATTTATATACATATAAATCTATATTATTAGTATATAATATTATAGATGTAATATATAAGTATATATTTAAGTCTGTACCTGCTTATGTATTCATCAAACTCCAAGCAAATGATCAGGGCTACTTGGAAACAGCATCTGAACACCCTAAAGGTAAAGTTGGGTTTATTTAATGTCAGGTGTAGTAGAGAAAAAGTCAAATATACATTTCTGTGTATTTTCATTAGAATTTTATGCCCTTTAAAAAACAATCTCCATATTTTACGACTGTTTTCTGTTCTTTGCTCTGCAGATCGCATTCAGGCGGTAACTCTAGAGGTGAAGGTTGGGAACTCCACCTGCATCAAAGCTGAGCTGTCTGCCTTGCTCTCCATCACATACACCACCTCCAACAGCACAGTAAATGTTTAATATTAGATTTTTTTTTCCCAACCTCAAATATATATGTTACATGATGTCCTTTAGGGTATCAGCCTTTGAACTATTTTGTCCCCCCCTCTCCCTCTAGAGTAATGTGTCCATCTCTCTGCCCGACTCCACCTCAGTCGATGCAGGAAGCAGCTCGTGCGGAACAGACAGCCGCCCGCCGTGGCTGGTGGCGGTGTTTGGATCAGGCCATGCGCTCGGACTGAGCTTCTCAACAAACGGGAGTTTTTATAACGTCACTGACCTGATGCTGCAATACAACCTGAGTGACACTTTACTCTTTCCTGAGGCCAACGGTTCTGGTGAGAGGGACTTCATCAAACTATCAGTTTTAGGGTTTAGCTTCAGAGAGGCTCTAATGTAGTGATTACACCATAGTTTAATGGTGACTCCTCTGCATCACAGGTGTAGTAACTGTGATGAGCACTTCAGTCCGGATCTGGGCTCCCGTCAACACCACCTACCGCTGTGCGAGTCCCACCACCATCAGAGCTGGAGGAGCTGCTGTCACCTTCTCTGAAATGAGACTGGAGGCGTACATGCCAGGAAATGACCTCAGCCCAGCAGGTCTAAGCTCTTCTTACTGGGTGACTTCTAACCAGCTTTAGTTTTTAATTCATTGAAGCCGATTGTTTATTTGTCATCACAGAAAGTGTGTGTGCAGCTGATCAGACCACTACTGCGGCTCCCCCTACTTCTGCCAGCACCACTGTTAGGACTACGACAGCAGCTCCAGGTCCGACTCCTCCGGGAACGCCTCAAACCGGAACGTTCTCTGTGAGAAACGGCAGTGGTGACGTTTGTCTCCTCGCTAAAATGGGTCTGCAGCTCAACGTCTCCTACGTCTCCCAGTCTCAAAATAAGGTTAATGTGGAGCTCCTGCTGATTAACGCATAGCCTTACAATCCACAGCATCATAAAACAAAAAAATCCTTTTCTCCTTCCAGACTGTTCAAGAATTATTCAACGTGAACCCCAACCTGACGGCTCAATCGGGATCATGTGGAAGCAGCACTGCTACCTTAGTGATAACACAACAAGCCACCACGCTCAGTTTCACCTTCTCTATGGTAACCATCTTTGTTTATCCGGTTTTTACGGAAGCATATTGCATTATTGTATTATGCTTATTAGTTATGTAGATGTGATCACCATTAGTTTGTGGACTTTGCATGGATGCCTGCGAGTTGGGTGCTAACCATGGACGGTTGTTTCCTCTTCTCTTCACAGTTTATCTAGTCGGTTTTGAAAAACAGGGCGTTTTTTTTTCTTTTTATTTAAAAAAAATCTTAATTCAGAAAAAAATGTTCTACTTATTTGTTTTAAACCATCATTAATTAGGAAAAATAGAACATTTCTATTAATTTTTTGTAAAAAAAAAAAATCATCTGGTTCCTTCAGAAAAACAAATTTCTTTTTCCCAGGTGGATGCAGTAGATTCTCCATCAATTAATGCAAATATTTTAAGCATTAAGTCATTTTTTCCTTCATATATACAGAACCTGACAACTAGCCAGTATCACTTAAGCGGGATAAACCTGTTGGCCAACTGGTCGGATATGAGCGGTAGGTCTCTGCTGTTTATCTTCATTCAGATTGGCAGCTTAAAAATGAAAACCTGCTCTGATGATTCTCCTCTCCAGCTCCCTTCTCAGCCAGTAACTCCAGTCTGGACTACCTTCCGAGTAAACTGGGCCACTCCTACATGTGTAACACAGAGCAAACTCTGCTGGTGGTTCCAGATTTCTCCATCAACACATTCAGACTGCAGGTGCAGCCCTTTGGAGTCACAGCCGGACAGTTTTCTGCAGGTTCTCATTCGGGTTTTTTCAAATCTCTGTTGTTGTCCTCCCTAGCACTGCGTCATTTCTCTAACTGAATCTCTTCTGATTTTGTCTTTGTTGTGATCGTATGTGCAGCTGAGGAATGTCAACTGGACCAGGATCAGATGTTGATCCCCATCATCGTTGGAGCAGCTCTGGCTGGTCTGGTGCTCATCGTCCTCATTGCGTACCTGATAGGCAGGAAGAGGAGCCATGCTGGGTACCAGACCATCTGAGGAGGGCTTTATTTAACCTTCTAGATGGAGTGCTGGAAGGAAACAGTGTGTGGATGCATAAAGGACAAGCCTGAGTGTTTTTAAAAAAAAGTTTTTGCATGTTCCTTTCCTTTTTTGTGTGGGTGATAAAACGTGAACTACCTGCGGACATAGATGCTTATGATGAAGAAAGTCTGCTCACCTCTTGGCTTATTTCGTCACAGGGTGAAATATAAAGAGGCAGCCACAGTCAAACGGACAGTAAGAGCTTAAATTACCTAAAGTTAACCAGAGATTTACTCTTTCCAAGGTTGGTCTGTTTTCTTTTCTTCATGGTCTTTGATGAAAAGGGAAATCTTTGGTCTCGTTTCATGAAAGGTGGACATTATTGGATGTTTTGACCTGGTGTTTTAGCACCCCTTCTTCCTGGCTATAAATTACATATTTAAGGATGCAGGATTTATTAAAAGCACAGTGAAGTTAGAAAAAGAGCCAGAAGTTAAAACAGGAAGAATTTCTCTATCTTCTTCACATAAACCACCATTCTCTGCTTCTTTTTTTTTCTGGGTTCTCAATCTTGCAAATAAAGGATGTGATTTTACATAAATCTATCCATGTTCAGCATAACGCTCTGGTACATAGAAGCTCTTTGTTTGCTGGAAGGATGTCCTTCTCTTTACAGCTTAGATTGACAATCAGCTCTGTTTAACAAGCTTTAAACATTTGATCATAAAAAAAAAAAACGTTCTAGTTTCTGCAAACCTTGTAAAGTGCAGCAGGAGTGGATTCCAGCTTTTTTTCATTTGACCCCTTTTGGGAAAGAAAATTAAAAAACATTTGGGTTGCTGTTATTTGTGATCCATTTTCTATTCCACATTTTGCTGAAATGTAATAAACATTTAGTCGATCGTCTTTTTTTTTTTTTTTATAGTGATTCTATGTTTACAGAAGCACCACTGGGACAGGCCAGCTCTTTTGTTTGTATCTGGTCACCATGGGAAACTAGATTATATGAATGCAGTTTTATAAAATAAAAATCAGCCCACAGAGAGGTGATGAAATGTTTCATTTTTACTACTGAAAATATTCTAGTTTAACATAATGTTGAATCAGTGTTACATCCCAACAGTCATCTCAAAGAACAAGTAGTGTTATTTAACATTTTTTTGAGAAAGGTGTGAAATACAGCGGACATTTCCTGCTCTAGGTCAAACATTTCTTTAGCTTCAGCCATCCTGGAATAAAGTGCATATTTCCACATTTACCTCAAAACGGGAAACAAATTAAGACAAACTTCATGGTGTTAAATTGAATCATTCAGTCATAAAGCAACAGCTTTACGTTTGTCTTTAGCTTATGCTCAAAGACAAAAGGTCCAGTGTTTAGTGACTCGGTTAAAAACAAAAAGCAGGTGGAGCCAAGCTGGGAGCTCGTCCTGCTATCTGGAATGCATAGGAAGATGTTCCCAGAAGTCCAGGTCAGGATTCCTCAGCAGCAAGTCGTTCACGACAGGCCACACGCAGCTTAGTCAAGGTCGCCATGGAGAGACTTCCTGGTTCAGTGAAGATTTTCTTGGAAAGAAACGGCAAGATTAAGAGATTAAAGCAGCAGAAATAAAAATAGTGTCTTCCCTCTAGAGAAATTACTGAAGGAGCCTTTTACCTGCATGAAAGGGTGACAATCTCCAACAAATGGTCCCTGGGTGATCTGTTTGAAGGCCTGACAGACGTCTGGCAGGGAGCGGGCCTGTTCGATCACAGCCTGGTGGTGATGGATCAGCGTAAGGGCCACGCGGAACAGGATTTTTGAGCCTTCATAGAAAAGGCAATCCCAGATCCTGAGAACGGTCTGCAGGCCAAACAGATTTAAATGCTAAATCCATAAAAGTCTAACAGTGCATTTAAACTACAACAACAAATACCCTCAAACAAAACTGTCGGAGAGCTAATATTGGAGAAAAAAAAAGCTGTTTTTTCACATGAAAAGCTGAAACCTTCAGTCACATGAGAGCAGCTGAGTGTGGAGTGGAAATGTGGAAAGTCGCAGCCTTGCTGCTTCTCTAGTGTTTGTGTTCAAAGCTATTTCTGAGAAAACGGTGTGAAAATCTCCATGTGTTGCTGCCAGGTAGAGGTTCCTCCCATATTTGGGGAACAAACAGTGGAGCCAACACAGTTTCAACTCACATGGATGAGAACAGCATAAGGCTGGTTTTATACGGCTTCATAAAACTGAAGAATAAAAGGACGGAAAACAAACGACAAATTAAGTCTGTGTGAAAATGTGAGATTAGATGCAAAAATGTCCCTTTTTAATCAAAAATATATATTCAAGGTTACTCCACATTTTTCATAGAAAAGAAAAAAAAATCTGACTGCATTTTTTGTAGGAAACTTATGAGACCAAGTTTTTAATAAGTAGCTAAATCATATACGCTCACCTCCACTGGTAAAATGTCTATGTAAAGACAGATGAACCACCTTGAAACCACCAGGGTCCACATGACATTGTGCTCCTCCATCAGCTGCCAAACTCGGGGAATTTTAAGTTTCACCAGCTCCCCCAAAACCTCCTGGTCCGTCTTCAGCCCCATCATGGCTGGACTGTAGTAATCTAGAAACGAACACATTCAGGGTTCCACTCCAATGTGTGGCCTGAGCTTTTCATGTGGGTTTTAATCTATTCTGTACTCAAAATCATTGCAGATCTAAAGCTAAAAAAGGCTTTATCTCATTTGCCTTATTAAAAGAATTACAATTTAGATTGCAAATTATTTGGAGTTAGAGGGAAAAAGAAAATCTATTCTTAGTAACAGCGTTTAGGGCAGACGTTCCCTGAAAACATGATCTCCTTTCAGCCACGTTTGAATGATTAAAATCACCGCTGTCTGCTTTAGTGTAACATTAAATGGACACATGTGGTCTTGTTAATAATTAAATGAACAACATGGTTAATAAGAAGGCAAACTCTGCTGTAATCAACATTTTCAGTGAAAGAATTTATTTGGAAATATTTATCCCCCAATTTAAAACTTAAGTCTCAAACTATTAATCAACTTTGTATAGTTAGAGAACGGGCTGCGTAAAAATCAGTCCAGGGGTCACAGAAGGCCCTCAGGCAACAATTCGGACGCCTCTAACCTTGGTGAGAGCTGCAATATCTTCTACAAAATGTGGCACTTTTACAACTGCTACCTTTTTGGAAATTACAAAAATCTGACAGCAATATATAATGAAATAAAAAATAATCCAATCAGGCCTTAAAGTACACAAAGTTTTAAAAGAGGATTATTCTGACCAAGAGACAAACCACAAGAACAATTTATTTACACATACCTGGCAAAATCCGTCCAATGAGAGCATCCATCAGCCAGAAAGATTTCTCTTCATCTTTAGTGATGATCAGTAGATACCCGGCAACAAAGTTCATCCCCTGCAGAGGAATGATATACAAAATCAAATAAAGCTTCAGCACATTCGTCAAACAGCAGGATCTTTTTATTCAAACATCTCTTTAATCCCGACAACAAAAAAAGTCTCATCTGTAAATAACTTGACCATGAAGATGTTCATCTAAATACAAAGTAAATATTTCCATGTCCTGGAAATGATGACAAACCTCCAGCTGTGACTGGGGAGCCTCTAACAGAGAGTTAAACAACATTTGGTTTAAAATACAATGAGAGCAAAGAGCGCCACCAGAAACGCACAAACCAAACGGTCAACAGATAAACCTCAGTTTGAAATTAATGGCTTCCGTTTATACTCTGACGATGCCACCTTGTTTTGAATTTCAAACCAGCTTCACAGTGGAAAATCAAATTTGCCTTTCAAATTCATAAAAAGGCAAAGCCTGGCTTTTAGGAAAGTCCACAGAAATGCTTCAAATCCATCCATCCCAAAACAAGTTCTGTTTTTGTTCAGAATAGTGGTCTAAAATCATGGGAACAGATCCAAATATTTTACATCAAAGCTGCTTTATTTTTAAGGCTTACTGGATTATCATGCTCATTTTTCTCCTTTACGTCCTAATATTCTCTCCAAATACTTGCTGCATTTTTATTTGAACTTTGTTTTCAGAAAATAAATCTTATAATAGCATCTATTCCCATAGATACAAATGCTATGCTAACACAAAATGCTACATTCCTTAGCTTCTCAACATGAAGCAAAATCTTTGCAAGTTGTTAAATCTAGAGCAGAATAGAATCCAGGTCACATGTGGGCAAAAAAATAAAATAAAAATCGGATTCGGGTCACTTCAGGCTGCGGTTTGAACGTAGCCTTTGTTGCACGAAGTCAACAAATTTCTGACACCAGTGAACTAAGGCCCCGTCCACACGAAGTCAAAACGAACACGGAACGCTAATATTTTCCAGAACGTTTGTCTTAAAGACGGAGACGTAAAATAAATGTGATCGTCCACACGAATGCATGAAAACGCTACAAAAATGTATGCCAGGCCTGTATGTGGCGCTGTCGTGCCAAAGCAAAAATAGGCGACGAAATGTTGGGCATGCGCACTAATATTTATACATGGTTGCCCTGCGGGTCCATTTTCGTGGTTTAGTCAAATTCAGGTGCTGAACTATGTCGTCGATATTGCTCTGTTCTTCCTGGAGATATTCCAGAAGAAGAAGATTCTGTTGTAAGCCCGACAGCAGGGTGAGTAGCATTAGCAGCAACCATTCAACACAGTACGGCGCCGTTGTTGTTGTGATACTGGTCGCGCATGCGTGTTTAGAGGCGACGCTATGACGCATGCGTGTAAAAAAAAAATGCGGTTAGAGCTTAAAGATGGAAACGCGAAAACGGCGTTTCAAAATCTTCCCACTCTGAAGGCTGAATAAAAAAAAGATTGTTTACAGACCCCCGAAACGCCGGCTTCGTGTGGATGAGAGGCTGGTTTGGTGAAAAATTTGTGCGTTTAGGCCAGGGTTCGTCTTCGTGTGGACGGGGCCTTAGATTGCAGCCAAAAACAGATACGTTCCTCCATCCTCCTGGTTTATTTCAGAGACACGCAGGTTAATGTCGCTCCACAACTTTACTTCTGCTTGGAAGTAACAAGTATAAGACATTTTACTCAGGATAAATATGATAATTTAGGCCACCTCTATGGCTATTAGGACAGCAGTCACTAGCTCTATTTCCATTACAAGTGTGAGCAGTTATGTAGATATTCTGCCTATTTCAAAAATATAAAAATTTTTCTCAATTGCTTTATTTCTATCAAATAAGAAATATAATTAAAATTGCACGTGAATACGTTAAGTTCTCATTGCGCTCATCGTCGCTAACTAAATGTAAGGAATATTCGGTCTCATCAATCCAAATATCCTGCAAAATTAACCTCCAGCTACCTTCCATCTTCTTCATCTTAGTAAAGCCCAGCTGCAGATCATGCGACTCCTATGAGGCAAAAAAAAAAAAAAATGCTTCATTTGCAGTTTTTTGGATCAAAAAACCACCTCATCAAGGGATGGAAACGTTTTTTATTGAAATACGTTTTTTTGCAATTGCAGTGTTTCCATGCACAAAATGTATTTTCATAATTACAATTTGTGCAATTCAGTGCTTAATAGAAGAGCAGCTACTGACCTGTGCCTCTATTCTGCTCTAGATTTGGGTCTTTTTTATGAACGATTATATTTGCTGTCGGGTAACAAGCTCTCCTCAAGCTTTTTCTTGCAGTCGAACTGTTCTTTAACGTCAGAGTTGCGATAAACAGAGAATAAGAACCTCTTCATTACTTGAAGCATCAGCCATCTTGCCTCACAGTCCACCACCAATTTAGATCAGACTAATGGGGTCCTCCATTGCTCTTTATGTCCCTTCTCTCCATTAATAGCACTTTGTTCTTTACAAACATGTCTTCTTCTAGTTAAAGAACTCATGAGTAACTGCTGAGCTATCATCGCCCTGGAGCTCATGGCTGCCAGGGTAACTTTGGCCTTTCCTTTCTACAGCATTTAAAGAGGAAAAACAAAATCATTTAGCTTGGATTTACCTGGCAGTAGCCCACAGATGGGTTATGGTGGCCATAGGCCAGCAGCACATTGTAAAGAGATTTCTGCAGACACTGGTCTGAAGACTTGCGGAACATGACGTTGTCTGGAAATGTTCTGTTCAAGTCTGAAAGAAAAGAACAAGCAGACGGTTATGGGCACATTTCTCAGCAGCGGAAGTCTGGGGCCGATTAAAATGAAGGAAAAGGTGAATGCAGCCAAAAACACACACCTGACCTCTCAGTGTAAACAATGTAAAGGACAGAGTTTCAGAGTGAAGAAAGCAATGAAGCTTGACCTGTTCTGATGGTCTCTACCAGTTTGGAGTCATGGTTGGCCGCCAGCATGGACTGGTAGTATCCTGGGTTCTTCTCCAGCTGGTCTTGAGCCCCACTTGCCGCCATCCAGATCAAAGCACGGTGCTCATTGGGGATCCCCTTGCGTACGTAACGCTTTACTGAACAACAAAGAGGAATTTTAAAACAATGCAGAGAATAGCATGCATTTCTTTGGACGGATCCTGCCGTGTTTGCTTTACGAACTTACATTTTACATTCTTTTGCACTTTGCCCTTTCCCTTAAGCAGCCTGGACCACTTGATGGAGCGTCGGGTTAGGATGACAAGATACTCGGACATGAGCTCCTCGTAGGATTCATAATCAAAGTCATCAGTGCGTTCAAAGCCATACGGATCAATTCTGAAGTTTCAGACCAATTTCATGTTATCAGAACAACAAAGAAAAGTGTTAAACTACAGTGAAGATGAAAAACCAAACATAATCAACAGAAACAGCAGCAGTGTTGTTCTTACAGTCCTCCTTTCCAAGGGGTAACTAAAGCTAATGCCTTAGATAACATGTTAATCTTAGTACAGCTTAACCTTCCTAAAGAGTAAAGTCATTCCTTAGGAGCTAACGCTTTTACAAACCATTAGTTCAAAGGTTCTTTTTAAACACAGCCTAAAGTTCAACATAAATTAATCCTCCAATAGGCTACATTAAAAATAAAGCTACAAATATGAGAAACATGTCTCTGATATTTAATATTGCACATTTAATAGAAAACGATGATCTATCAACATTTCTATGACAACATGACAATAAATAGACACTGGGATCTGTTATTAAAGTTTAGACTAATTACAGCTAAAACTGATGCAGATTTTTCTTTCGTCAGTGTTCCTGAAAATGAAGAGTTGTGCAACACAACAAGATCATTGGATTCTCTGGGTGTCGATGTTATTATAAGCTGGATTGACTCTTGTATTAATGCCAAAAACTTACATCAACATTAGTTGTCAAAAGGCTGAAGGAAGAAACAATACGGTGATGAGGAAAAATAAAGAATGTGAAATGAGGGTTAAATGCAATCTGTATTATTATTCAAAAAGAACATTGCAAATAATTATTCTAATTCTGCAGTAGAACAGAAAATACAGTCAGTGAACTATGAGGATTATTCTTTAATTATTCACAACACATACCATTATTATTTATGCATTTACTTAAATGATTATTTAATTATTTATGCTATATAAATATTAGTTTTTCAATGTTTTTTTGGGGTTGGATGCATGGGACCTTTATGCCATTTTAACTAAATAAAACCCAGACACATTTTCTTTATCACATGCATGTTGTTAGATACAATTTGCATTTGTTTATTTAGTTTTAATAAATGCCATTCTATTTTTCAAAGTAAAAAATATATATCCTAATATTGAGCATATTAAGTCCTGCGTACAAAAATATTCTTATGATGTTAAAACATTAACTAGATTATCCTCCACTAACAGATTTCTTATTTTCAAAAATCATGAGCGGTTCTAGATGGGGGCCAACAGGGGCCAGTGCCCCTGCTGAGCAGGTCATGGCCCCTGTTATGACCCCTATACTGGGGACATACTAAAAAACAAATAATGACAATATGCAAACATAGTAACTTATAGGCCCCTTTTTTACTTTGCAATTCTGTTTTGTTTTGCCTTAAAAATTAAGGCAATAGCGTCATATAATCACTTTCCTAAATGTTATTTTGAGCCAAAAAAAAAAAACAACAAATTTTTTACACATGAATTAATCATTTTTATTTAAGTTCTAATTCTGATTCGATTAAAACTGGTCATTTCATTTAAAATAAGTAAAGAAATAAAATATTTGAGCATACATTGACTTAATTTTACAAAAAACATTCTATATAATCTTACAGTGAACATCTATTTAGAAACTAATTATTTCAGCTGTTTTTTTGTTGTTGTTTTTTTTCATTTTTTTCCATCGACATTTTTAAACCAAAAATATAAATATTAATTTGGAAGGGCATCAAATTTCAGTTAAACTACATGTGCAGAGCAACTCTTAATATATTATATTATAAAAGATATTGCCCTGTTTTTGGTTGTTTTTTTGTTGTTGTTCTTTTGCTTTTCTTAAAAAAAAAAGAAAAAAGTAATATGATCACGTTCATGTTTAAATAGTCTAAATATTTTAGATCTTTATCTACTTCCGGTTCGTTAAACGTGGTTAAATGTAGATTTTATCGAGCCATGGTCCAAATCGGATGCCAACTTCTGAGTAGTTCAGAAGTTGCTTTTTTATAAAGTAAATCTTTAACTTAAAGGAATTATGAAAGAGAGATAAGAGAATCCACACAATAACTCAATGTTACCAGTTTCTTTTCTTTTTCTTTTTACTATAAAACACACTTTTGGGGGGGTGAAATGCTATTAGAAAACTAAAATACAGTCCCTGAACGCATCAACGGTTATTTTACTAATGTTAATTTTAGCCAATTATGGCTAACCACCCATAAATACATAGTTTCCAATATGAAACACCTGACGACCACCAGAACCTCACCGCTCCTGTCTTTTATTTTTATGTTTTCCGAAGAGATAAAGATATATAAGCTGATATAATTGATAAAGTAAGGTTTAAAGGACTCATTTTTACCTGTCCGCTCGCTCCTTAGCTGTGCTCTGCCTCACGGAGGAGGAGGAGTGGGTCCCGTTGGTGGGCTTTATCGACGTCTCCATTGCGTCCTCTTCTCTAGTAAAATACCCTCGACTGAGCTAGGACGAAAGCATCTACCTGTCGACGTCCTTTCCTCGCCAAAAAAATCGAAGCGATACAAAGTTAGGTTGAGACGGGTTCTCCCGGACTCCTAACTTTCTCCATGTTGTGGTTAAAAAGGATCGGGACAGGTCGCTGCTCTCCCCTCGCTTTCCTGGAGACAAAACTTACTTCAGATCACAGAATCCGTTAAAAAACTCCCAACATGTTTCCTAAATTGAGTTAGAAATCTACATTCGACTCCTATGTATGTTTTATGAATGTAGTCGCGTTCAAATTAAGGCAGTCTTCTTATCGCCATCAACAAGGAGCACCTGCAGCTGCTGCTTTTCGTTGTGCAGCTAACTTGTCCTGTAAAGCCAAGAAAGTAGTCCAAAGCGGTCCCACCCACTGGATCCTGGAGGTTTATTTAATTAGCGTCCCTCCTCCTGCGTATGCAGTTGGATTTGGAAGCGGGACAGACGATCTAAATCAGATCTAATGCTGCGTTCACAGGACTCCACATAACGTCGTAACTTCGAGCGTTTCAATTGGATTTGTGATGCATTCAAGGGGCTTAGGGAAAAGACAAAACGATTGCTTGGTTCATTTTTTTTTTTACATTTCGTCTTTTACTTTACTCGCTATTTATTTTTAATTAAGTATAAACACAATACTCGTGTATAAATCAACATAAACAACTATTTTTGAAATAGTCTTCATTTTTTTTATCAGCCTACTTTAATTAAGTTTTATGACTTATATTGCCTACTCATTTATTTTATCGGCGAAACATGGTGCCGCCAACTTGGAGCGGTCGTGTTATCGTAAATGGTATGATTTAATCAATCATAACTTGCGGAATACCAGATATTTCACGCGTTTGTGCTGAAAATCTCACAAATGCAGGTAATACAACACAACTCAGCGTATTTCAATATTTAGTGGGATTAAAAATCCTATAATATTAATGTTTTGATGAATAGGCCTATATTTTGCAGAACACAGCCACTTACATGGTCAGAATCATTTCTTTTATTTATTAGTGTACAGTATACAAAAAAACAACAAAAGTATAATAGAAAAAAAGGATGAAACAATGACAATCAAATACAAGCAAAAAAAAAAGAGAAAAAAATGTTGCATCCATGGATTTAGAAATTGGATCTGTTTCTTATTTGACAGCACGTAGTCTATCTATATAGACATACATCTATACATGCATATAAATGAATATTGATGGAATAACACCATCTTTCAGCCTGACAATCTGACCTGTCCTGTTAAAATCCTATTTTTTTAAATGCTGGTTGCGGAGCACAGATTAATCTCTTGCAGCGAATCCCTGCCCTTATTAAAACTCAACACGTCTTCTTCCTGTCATTTTCACAGTGGTGAAGTATCTTTGTCTCTGGTTATCCTTTCGAAGTTAAACAGGATATAAAGGAAAATAACACTGATCTCCTTTCGAAAATGTTTTTATGTAGACACTCCTCTTCCTTTTTGTCCTTTTTATTCTATTTTCAAAGTCGGGAGGATTCATTGGTCCAGGGCCGTCCCTCCCTAAACACTCTTTAGGGTCCTACATCCCACTGGGGGCAACATTTTGCGCATGGTAGCGTATATGCGCAACATCGCACACATGCTATACCGTTAGACAGAAGAGAGAAAAGAGACCTCCTGTAATTAGACCGTGCAACATATTTCAGAACTCAACATCTGACCAATCAGATGGTGTTGTGTGTGCAGGCAGGCTGACTCTTGCTGACAAACAGAAGATGTGATATCAACATGTTGTCCAAGCGACATCATGAAGGTGCACCAGCAAGAGAAGAAAAATGCAAAACACGAGGAAACTTCCCTCGAAGGAGGGTAACTTGTTGAAATACAACTTTAGACATGAACGCCTAAGTTTCCACTCATCAGACAGTTTATAATTCCAGTCTCTGTCTAGAGTGGAACAGAGGTGGAGTCAGAAAATCCTAATAGGTGTGGCTGAAAGGCCCCAGAACCTCAGGGTCAATCTACAGAGTTTCAGTAGGAATAAGCACAACATCCATAATTTTTAAATAAAGAGAAACTATACTTTCCTGCAGCTTTTGCTAACAAATAGACATATATTTAAACATCTATGCTGTAAAATAAAAGGTACAGTGGAAAATTTTTTCATGTTTGAGTTCTGGGGTGAACACATTTTATATTGTCATTACCTACTTTTATCAATAATCAATCTCCAAAAAAATGGTATTTAAATCTACTAATATCCACAATTAATGAATTTTTAGGTCATTATCAAAATAGTTATTTATCTACGATTTCACTGAAGACTCCTAGATGACCTGCAGAGGCACATCATTTTATCTTTACCCCAAATAATTCAAACTTTAGCTCTGAAAAGAGCATGAATTCTGTATCTATCATCTTTAATGTTTATATATTGATGTGCATAATTAATCACAGTGTTTCTGTTGCCAAGTTATTGATATATGAAAAAAATACATTTTTAAAAGCTTTTAACATCCCAGTTCAGAGTATTACTACTGCCACCATCTGTATTAGAGGGAAAAAATGGTAGTGGTGACCACAGGGGTGGCTAAGGATTGGCTAAGGGTGGCCTAGATAACAATAAACTTTATATTTACTATATATATATAGTTACATAAATACTATATATATATATATATATATATATATATATATATATATATATATATATATATATATATATATATATATGTGTATATATAGCTTTAAATATATAACTATATATTTAAAACAATGTAACTATATATATAGATATATAGATATAGATATCTATATATCTATATATATCACATGAGACATCAGAGAGGTTGAAAAGTTACATGATTATATGGGTGTAGAATTTACTTTTAAACGTTATTATGGAGATTTTTTATAATAATTTCTAAAGTAGACTTGTGTCAGTCTTAATCAGCTGTAGGGATTAACCAACACTTTAGGTATCTTGGTTTCCAGTCATATCATGGCTAGCACGGACCAATCATTATGGTAACATTAGCTGACATTTCACTGATGGAAATAAGTACATTAACATTATCACAAAATATAAACAGTATATGTCCATCATACTTGCTGAAGGTCATCCTCCGAGTTCTGACGTCAACAGTCTGTTGGTTAGGCATACAACACAAATACGCTGCACACTGCTGCTGAGACATCCTTGTGGAATTATTTTTTTTGGGCAAGTAGGAGAAGTGGCCGATGATACATCTTTGGCAGTGGGACGACCGTTCCAAGATGGCGGCCATATTTTATGCACTCTGAGAGCCAATGCTGTGTCTGCTTTTATGTATCTATGGTCTCGCCTTCTCCGACTGAGCCACTCAAGCACAGGTAAACAAAGCAACCTGAGGTGTGCTGAGGAAACATGCTATTTACCTACAGTTCGTTGGAGAGTGTTGAGCAGTTTAACCAAAGCAGAAACTTTTTTGTACCATCAACCTTGACATAATATTAAAAAATATTATTTGTAATGTAATCAGATCAATACAATGTAGAGAAAATCTGGATATTTTGTCACAAATTTACTATCTCCTGTATTTTATTTAGTAGCTACAGATTGCTTTCTAACATTTTTGCAAAATGACTCTAAAACTGCTCAGATAAGATGTGTATATTTTCACCCTCATGTGGCACAGGTGCATGTTTCCCAGCACTTTTACTTCAGTTCAGATACAAATAAGACAACAACACAAACAACAGTGATGCCATAAATCGGATCCAAGGCTAACAATAAAAAAGTATCTGACAATATCTGTTGGAAGGCCACTTATGATTTTAAAAAAAATCTGTATTAACTGAAAAACAACAAAGTCTGTTAGATTTTACAATAAAAAATATGAAATAGCCGATTGAAATAATTCACAGTTTGATTATTCAATGCATTTCTTTTTGATACAAATTAGCCATAAATTAAATAATCTGATGAACTTTCTGTGGTATAGTTTGCAGAAAAGTTACAAAGGATCTGAATCATGTCATCATACAAAAGTATCAGCCAGAAGAAGGGTACAAAGAATGATACACAACATTTTATTCCTATGCCATTGCACAATGAAGAGAGTCAGCGATAGCTCAAGTAAAAATGGAAGAACAGAGAAACTGTTTAGCGATTCTGCAGCATACTATTCTTAGTCTGAAATGAGCTACAGGGATTTACAGGTGCTGGTCATAAAATTAGAATATCATGAAAAAGTAGATTGATTTCAGTAATTCCATTTAAAAAGGGAAACTTGTATATTATATTCATACATTACATACAAACTCATATATTTCAGATGTTTATTTTGTTTAATTTTGATGATTACAAATGACAACAAATGAAAATCTCAAATTCATCATATCAGAAAATTAGAATATTGTGAAAAGGTTCAAAATTGATGGCCCCTGGTGCCACACTCTAATCAGCTAATTAACTCAAACCACCTGCAAAAGCCTTTAAATGGTCTTTCAGTCTAGTTCTATAGGCTACACAATCATGGGGAAGACTGCTGACTTGACAGTTGTCCAAAAGACGACCATCGACACCTTGCACAAGGAGGGCAAGACACAAAAGGTCATCGCTAAAGAGGCTGGCTGTTCACAGAGCTCAGTGTCCAAGCACATTAATAGAGAGGCGAAGGGAAGGAAAAGATGTGGTCGAAAAAAGTGTACAAGCAAGAGAGATAACCGCACCCTGGAGAGGATTGTGAAACAAAACCCCTTCAAAAATGTGGGGGAGATTCACAAAGAGTGGACTGCAGCTGGAGTGAGTGCTTCAAGAACCACCACACACAGACGTATGAAAGACATGGGTTTCTGCTGTCGCATTCCTTGTGTCAAGCCACTCTTGAACCACAGACAGCGTCAGAAGCGTCTTGCCTGGGCTAAAGAGAAACAGGACTGGACTGCTGGTGAGTGGTCCAAAGTCATGTTCTCTGATGAAAGTAAATTTTGCATTTCCTTTGGAAATCAAGGTCCCAGAGTCTGGAGGAAAAGAAGAGAGGCACTTCATCCACGTTGCTTGAAGTCCAGTGTAAAGTTTCCACAGTCAGTGATGGTTTGGGGTGCCATGTCATCTGCTGGTGTTGGTCCATTGTGTTTTCTGAGGTCCAGGGTCAACGCAGCCACATACCAGGAAGTTTTAGAGCACTTCATGCTTCCTGCAGCTGACCAACTTTTTGGAGATGCAGATTTCATTTTCCAACAGGACTTGGCACCTGCACACAGTGCCAAAGCTACCAGTACCTGGTTGAAGGACCATGGTATCCCTGTTCTTAATTGGCCAGCAAACTCTCCTGACCTTAACCCCATAGAAAATCTATGGGGTATTGTGAAGAAGAAGATGCAATACACCAGACCCAACAATTCAGAAGAGCTAAAAGCCACTATTAGAGCAACCTGGGCTATCATAACACCTGAGCAGTGCCACAGACTGATCGACTCCATGCCACGCCGCATTGCTGCAGTAATACAGGCCAAAG